GCGGCCCCCTGCGCCGGCGGCAGCGCGCAGCTTTGCTCCTCGGGCGTGCAAGCAACGCCGCGTCCCGCTACTGCGGTGTGCAATGCGCTTACGTCCTAATCCAAGGCGCGCGCTCTTACTCCTGCTTTCCGTGCGTTTCTCTTCCTCATCCCAAGTTGCATGGCTCTGGCCTTCTCCGGTGCGCGGTGCTGCATTCTCATCCACCGTGCTTTGCTCTGATCTCCGACTCCCATGTGGAATGCATTGTGTTAACATTTAATGTGCGTTACACAGTTACTTCCCTGGGTGTAATTCACCCCTTTAGATCTGAGGGGTGCAGTGCCTCAGCCGAGCAGTTTTCCGCTTTCTCGCTCAGCCTGGGATCACCACAGAGTGTCAGGAGTATCTGTCCCGGAATAGCTGCGTGATAGGAGTTGCAGAGTGGACTGGCAACAGAGGCAGTGAAAGGCCCTGGAGGCTGGGATCATGTAGAAGTGGACTGCAGCAGCGTGACAGCAGATTAAAAATCCTGACTTGACTTTTTTGGGGGAGCTTCAGATGAGGATTTTGCTGATTAAAAATGCAGAATTGGACCCTTGGACACAAAACAGGCATGTGGCTGTGATCAAACTGCCACTCAGGTCCATGCATATATCCCGCTTGTCCAATGTTAGGCTTATCGGTGCTACATCTGCTCTTCACTGACACCTATACCCTGCCTGTATAGCATGACCCATAGCTTTCACTGGTTGAAACGCAGCGGCAAGTTCAGTAGCTGGGAGACTGTACCCTCTTCAAGATAGCCACGTACCAGCTGCCCAATATAGCCTGTATGTTGGGTTGTATATGGATCCTGAAGCACTACTGTGGCTGACGTTGCAAAATAATCCACTTAGGTTAAAATTTAATCAGTCATGGGTACATCTGAAAGGTAGAGCATGGACTGCACATGTATTTCTTTTTATTAGCTTGTTTACTAGCTCTGGTTGAACGTCATGCGTTCTGGCGTGGATCCAGCTGACCTGGGTTTCATGGCCTTTCCTGCAAGAGAAGAAGCACTGCGGATACTCGCCTTGAGCAGTAAGTGATTTCTGAGATTTAGGCGAAGCAGCTGTCCTTGTTGTTGCCGTGGAAACTGCCTCAGCGCAGGAATTGCTGTCCCAACGGCACCCCGCAACATTCCATAAGAACGGCAGCAACCGAGCCTTAACTGTTGGCACAAGGAAGTGCCTGGGTAAAGTTTACCCAGCCTGTGCAAACATCCTGGTGTCCTGATCATAACTGAGCCACCCGTATGTTTTGTGTGGCTAAGTATTAGCTTTGTGGGATCGTTCGCACCCAGGGATAACTGGTTTCAAAAGAGCAAGGCCTGAGGGACGCCTTGGCCTAACCAACGCGGCAGGATTGCGCAGGCAGGGCAGTTGTGGCCTGTGCCGTAGATTTGGCGAGAGCTGCTGGAACTGCAGTAGTTTGATAAGAGCTTGAAGCAGCTGGTGAGCGCTGGGGCAGTCCGGCGCGCAGGCTCCAGGCCAGGGCAGGCCCGGCCCGCTGCGGTGAGCGCGGCCTGGACAAGCTCCCTCGTTGCGGGCTTCTCCGCAGAGGCTCGAGCAAAGGCGTAAGTGAGGGGAAGCCTCTCCTCTCCCGCTTCC